CATCAACGTCGCAGATGTACGGATTGCAAAGGCCCATAAGGAAGGGGAAGTCGCTAAGACCAATTTTATCAATGGTGAACTCCCCACCGCACAAACTGGCCCATCGGCTAATGCGAATCCTAGGTTCACTTAGTCAGCATTACAATACACATTGAGGATCTCGATCACATCAACATAGCCGACAAACTCATATGCTCTATGGACGTCTAATCTTTGTTCACTAACGTTCGATCGCGCAAAACAGTTGATTACGTACGTCATCTGATTGAGGTTGAAAAAGTCCGTGTACAAATACCGAGAGATCTACTCAGGCAGTCCCTGCTGTTGTGCACGGAAAACGTCAGAATCCGTTTCCAACAGACCTCTTATTGTCAAATTGATGGAGTGGCTATGGGCAGTCCTCTGGGGCCTGTACTAGCCAACTTTTCCATGATAATGCTTGAAAGAAAATTAAGCGGACAGATTTCGCAACAACCTTTCTACAAGCGGTATGTTGATGTCATACTCTTGTTCGGTTCCTCAAGAACGCATATAGAATGCCTGTCCAGAGAGCTAAACAGAGTCCATATCAATTTAAAAGTAACTCATGAATCCGAGTCAAATAACTGTGTTCCGTTTCTGGACCTTCTCATCAGTCGAATGGATACCGGGCTCGTTAGGCGGTCTATATATCGAAGGCCGACTTGGTCTGGGCAATACCGGCACTTTACGAGCTTCACACCAATGGGTTACAAACGTGCGCTGGTGGAAACGCTGTTTTCTCGTGCCAGACGAATTTGTTCAACTGAGTGTCTGGCTGAGATGGAGACTACTACCAGAACACTTATGGAAAACGGTAACCCTAAACGTTTCATCTAAAAGCATAGTCAGGCCAGAGAGCCGAAAGAAATGGTGTTGATAGCACCTAAGAAAAAGGTTTTCATTGAAATTCCATTAATTGGGCAACGCCGCCACAATGACGACAGCCAAGCGTTTATACTCTGCCATCCAGAGAACATACTACGCCGTTGACGCGGTCGTAATTAGCAGAACCAAGAAGCTGTTGTTACCTTCAGTCAAGGAAGAGGAACCCATCAGCGCGAAATCCCATTGCGTTTACCAATTTGTATGTGACTGCGGAGTCAGTTACACTGGCAGAACTGAGAGGGTTTTGAATTCCAGTGAAGGAACACCTGCCTAACTGGGTTCAACGGGAGGTCAACAAACCCGCCTCTAGTGCTCCGAGCTCACGTAAGCCACCAGCGTCATCAATAAGCAGGCACATTTGGGAGTCCCATCATCGGATTAACACTGTCTCGGCGTTCCGGATCCTACTGCGTCATCCTAGTTCGTGGTTCTTGCGATTAGTCGAGGCTGTGGTGATAAACTGAATGAGACCGGCCCTATATGTACAAAATGAAATGGTGGTAACTCTTCGGCTGCCGTGGTGTTAGGGTTATAGCCGTCTTTTACCCTGGTGCGCGTCACTGGTCAGGTGACACTCGTTGATTATTATTTTGATTAGTCTGGTGACACCGTTTGAGTGCACTGATGATTTCCTGTTTTCATAATGGTACTGACGAGATGATACGAAATGCGCGCATCTACCAATGTTCGTCTTTTTTCTGTGTTATTCGAATTATTAAAGGGAACGAACTGTATTACCTTTCATTTGTGTCAAAATTTTGTGTTCTACCTTAAAAGGTTGACATAGAAACTCAAATACCAATAGAGATATTATGTTAACAAATTGCTGGGATTGGTCGATGGAGAGAAATATCATCATCCTCATTAAAAGTGAACTAGTATTCCGCAAGTGTATAGACACACTGTGCGTTTGTCTACATAACCCTTGGCGCACGTCTTTGCAAGCTTTTTATGCACAGCTACCGTTCTGGTCGGAGGCACGTTATTACTGTTGTGACCACCGGTAAAATGTCCCAGCTACACAGAACGACTGAAGCTCCGAACCGTGGCGTTCTCCAACGAGCGTTAACTTGAACCGCTTATGACAAACAGTTCATGAACTGCTCCACCCTTCACTGTATTTTCATTGTGTACCCGGCTGCTACCAAGAGATATCGTCAGGTCGATTCGACGTAGTGATATCCATTTGTGGCTTGAACTGCTGAACGAATTGTTCCGTTTTGGACGTTCCCTCAAGCATGGCTTCGCCTACCTTGCTTCGTTGTCTGTCAGATGATTAGGTAAAAGTCGAGGTGCAAAGCTGCGGGTTGTTCATTTCTCACATTGGGAGCTCCATGGGTGTTTTGTACACATTGCTTCGTCAACAGTGCTCCTACCCTCCGCTCCTCGTTTTAACGCCCGTAGTATTTCCATGAAAAGGTATTTAAAGATTCAAGTGTTTCCTCTATCCGTGCTCTTAATGCCTGTCGATGTTCGGTCAAATGGTTAATATTTCTCAATAGCTCGGTTTGCGAGTGGAGAAGCGGATTTTCAAATATGCCGAATAGTGAGCTCGTTCTTTAATACGAAATTGCGGTTCTACAATTCGGACGGTTTCTAGATTAAGGCTCGCTTTACTCTACAATAAACCGTGTTGTCTTTATCTGAACTGTTGTCATCTGACTGCAATGCGTGTCGGTAACGGAATAGTTACCTGTCAAATACCGATCATCTAACTTATGTAGCCTTTATATCGTAGTGAATTTGTCTTCCGCCAACTCTTTGGTATATATGTAGAGGCATCCACTTCCGATGTACCTGTCATTTTGTTATGTCGCTCTGAACTGTTCTGTCCCATGCCGACGACGAGAATGCCAAGATGAGCAGCGATAGGGTTCTTTTTCATCAGAAAACAGCACTGTTATATAGCAGGCAAGCAGTGGTCAAACAAACCAAAGCGCTGCAAACACCGGACTGAGTAGGCAAGTTAGAATGCATTCACAAAGTACTGATCAGTTGCACTCAACAGGAGGCAGTTGATAGTGTCAATCCCATGGGGGAAACTGGTAAACAACCAGAAATAACGAGGGTTAACGGTCAATAAAACCGCCAAATTATTGTATTAAAACACATCAAGAAATGCTCACGACAAAAAATAAAAGCTTGCGGTTCCTTACTGCTACACGAACTGCATCTCACTTAAGCATTTCCTCTAACACATGGGGCTGGAAGCGGCGATAGTACATCGCTTACGAATCGTTCACGGTTGACCGGCGCCAGCCACTGTCTAACCAAAACACCGTTGGCTATTCATTGGATATCTTTTTGAACTTAATCCCTCTGTGTACTAGTCAGATCACGTACGGATGGGGTTTGATCAATTACATCCTACTGAATGAAGATTCTATCTGTTCAGCCAATGGTGCGGTAGAAGACACGGAGAAGCGGACGAAGGATTTGATCGAACATTTGAATGTCGTCTAACTGGGTGGGATGTAGGGGAGACTGATCGCATCGGTGGTTCTATCGCAGCTTCCGCATCTGCCAATTATAACGTATTCTTCCTATGAAGTGCTATTCGCTAGTCCGTTCCCTTCTTCTTTTTTGCTGTAAATCTTCCTGTCTTTGTGGCGACTTGAACAATCTTAACCTGATCGATTGTTTTTCGGTATTTGCCCCATAAAGAAACTGAAGTAAAACTGTGGCACACAAAGATATGTAGGAGAGAGGCGCATGTCCTACCAATTGCTTCGATCTTACTGGTTAAATATGCTAGCATGGAGTACCGTGCTCTCATGGAATTCTTATGTCAAAATGACATGTCCACGACTGTTTAAGTGCGAATCCCATCAATAGTCCTGTTTGGTAGCACACAACATGCAAAGACTTCCACAACATTAAAAACTCGATATCGAACATGGGAATTAGTAGCGAGGCGTAAGGACAACAAAACATTGCACTTAAAGTTGGCGAGAGACAATGACATACTGACCGAACGAAGTTTAGTTTGCTCAGTTCACCAGATTCGCCTGGATTTCGATGGTTTCTAACGAACTGCTTATTATTACGCATTTAAGATACTACCGTCTTTGTGAGCAAATCAACGACTGTCAGCCAGATCGAACAGCCGATATCTCGCATTGCTGCATTGTAACGTACTACGTCATAAAGCTGACAATACATTATAGCCGGCTGCAATGCCATCACGATTTCTTCTCCATTCCAGTGTGTCAACCGTGGAACGCTGTCCCAACTTATTTTGTCTCTGCTCCCAACCTAATGATACATTGGATACGACTTGAAACATTGTTTCATTCGCATTTCATTTTATAATTTGTGTTAGCCAGGAGGCTTCATAACACAGTCAATCCAAAATTATAACCAGGTGGATTTATATTTATCATCATGTGGACACATAGGTCCCATTACGCATACCTCAATGCGAACGCTATAGCTAGCCCACCAAAAACGCTTTTCAATTTATCACATTTTCCTTCCTCAATTCTTTTTATCCCACAGGACCTGTTAAACATTGTCTGGCCCGTAATACACCATTGTCCCACTGTTTGCCCATCAACTGATTACCGAGGAGAACCTTGTACCACCCACCTGATCCAGGGTGGCTTAAGATTCAAGGAGAGCATTGGTATCGGATAACGAAGCCACTACCCAATAAAGTAGACACTTAGAGCGGTGTAACCTGTGCCCACCTGTAGATCTAAAAGGACATGGCTCGCAGTTGGCGCTGTCATTTCTTAGCCGGACTGTCTGTCTCCTAAAGTCGAAATAATGCTTTTACTTGATAGGTAATGGTTGCTTACGACATGGGGTAGTGAAAACTGCAACGAGCGCATTTCGGTTGTATCGTGTTATCTCCGCATGACAAGCAACTGTTTGTAGTCGGCCATTGCTGCTTCGGGTGCCTTATTCTTGAATGCTTGCTTAAGGCATTAATGTTTTATCTAACGTCCCCTGTCTCACCTTTTACTAGTTTTATCAGAGGGTGTTTATATGCTAGCGAGGAGTATCTGCCTGGTACCACACCCGTTGCTGTCGTTGATTGCTATTTTATGGTCAGGTGACCCCCATCTCTACCTGATGTTTCTTGCTTTTTAGTCTCTTCGTAACACAATGAAAATCATATTCCGAGCGCGAAATACTCGTACCACCTTACGATACTGTGTATCACGTTTGAGCAGTTTACTTGGATTCAACCGTTCCCTGATGCAAACTGCTTCGCTCCAACAGTCAGCGAGTTGGTGTTTCAGCAGTCCAATAGGTGACCGAATTCCGGATCATTTGAACGATTTTGCTGGCAAATTGTTCGAAGGAGATAGGCGCACTTTGTCCAGGGCCATCACTCTACTGGAATCCAGCCACCCAGCGCACAGGAACGAAGGTCATTACGTCCTCTCTCAAGCGATGAATTTTCTAGCTGAACGAGAAGCGCGATCCGGAGCACTGTCACTTCGAATAGGTACTTTAACTTCATCGTGCACGTGCTTTCGTGACAGCCATTTGTCACTAATGATCTTTCTCTTTCTATGGTGTAGTGCATACTTATTTGTGCTATTCTGCTGTGAAACCCTAACGATCTTCATCCTCTCTAACAGCATTGAAGTCATTAGACAAGGTTCTACTGTGATTAGCTCGGTCGGTCGTGTGCGGTTGCATGTAACATACGTAACCCGGTATGATGTGACAAATTTTCCATCACTAATTCTCAGTTTGCGATGAGTTAGGCCACAGTATTTGCAGTTCACTGAGTCCGTTGATAAGTGTCACTATCTTTTCGATGAGCAGTTGTTTTTCCGTTGTTGCGGTCCCCGATTATTGGGGATGGCGCGCATACAGCAACAGCAGCGGGTGAGTCCCGTCTGTCCTGGGCATGCGTGGGCTCCCTTATATCTGGATCCCATTTGATAGCCGTAATCCCTATCCATTCCACTTGATTTATCCTTATTATTGCTGGGGTTACTATCTTAACAACATGAGTCAAGATCACTGGATCCACTGCACAGCAACACATAAATCGTAGCCGATCAACCGATTTAAACTGCACATCGATGGGCGAGATATCACTCCGGCAGTTTGCTGGCCACATGCGTCATGCTATAACATAATTCCAGGTGTCGCCTAGATTGTTACTTGCATCTGACTTATGGCTCTTTAGAATCAGCTCACTACTTGAATGTATATCCTTATGTGGTGTACCTTTTCTGAACTTCAATCACAAGCCTGGGGGTCCCCGTTCACCTCAGGTGGACATTCCAAAAAAAGTGCTCTAAACCCGGAAACGGTTACAGTGTTAATCATTTTTGGTTTGGCTTCTTGTTTCTCTTAATCATGTGTGCAGACCTTTTTGGCTTCGTTTATTACATACAGATGCTGTTAACCCAATTCTATTAACAAACTGCCCATACACTAACCGGCATTGTTCAAATAATATACGTCAGACTGATAGCGCGACATTTTTGGTCCCAAACCAGTATCCTTTTATGTGTTTATTCGAAGGTATATCGGGACCACCAGGTGCGGGCAAGAGTACATTTATCGAGACCCTTGGAGGTCGCCTCACTGGCACGTTACCTTGGCTCCAAGATCATACGGTGCAAGCTGCTGGAGACAATTCACAGAATACCAAATCAGCACCAATCAACTTCGGTAAGCATCGTGTTGCTGTGCTGGCGGTTGATCCTACGTCTTCTGCAACCGGTGGTAGCTTACTTGCAGATAAAACCAGGATGCAGGAACTTTCGCGCGACCCAAGGGCTTACATTCGACCTTCACCTAGTGGTGGTAACCTTGGCGGTGTTGCAAGATCGACAAATGAAGCTGTGGTTTTGTGCGAGGCAGCTGGTTATGATATCATTCTAGTGGAAACAGTGGGTGAGTCAGTCAAAATTCCAACAATGCTGATCAAAGTTTCTGCTACTGGTATAACGGAGTACAATTTATCCGCCCTGACGATTACAGTGATGAATTGACACAAAACTATAGATTCGGTGACTCTGCTTGATCTTAGTAGTCAATTGCCGTGGAAATTGAGGGAAGTTAAGTTGATCGCTCTGTTTTTCTCTCCCATGCATCCAGGTGTTGGTCAGTCAGAAACTGCTGTGGCTGACATGGTGGACCTTTTTATCCTTCTCATCCCTCCTGCTGGTGGTGACGAGTTCCAAGGCATCAAACGTGGCATCGTGGAATACGCAGACATCGTTGTAGTCAATAAAGCAGATGGGGACTTGGTTGCGCCTGCCCGACGCATCGCTGTGGAATACTCCCACGCTCTTCGATATCAACGACAGCGGCGACCCAACTGGCGCCCCTTGGTGAGATTTCTATGCATACACGGTTTTCGATTGACATCACCTGTGTAAAAGATTATTCTGTTCTCGCTCTTCACTAGATGTATACTGAGTAATGTAAGTAGAGAGCTGAAACATATACATATGTGTTGATCCATAGATACATTATCTGGCACACACTCGGAATAACGTCATATAGCACCACCTTCTGTGGACTCATTTCATCTATGCGACTTTCTATTTAGTTACGATGCGTTCTCGATTCTCTTGTATTCCGACACTGACTTCGCTTCGACTATTCCTTTGGATAAATTGTTTCACTAGTTCATTGCTGGACGCTCGAAGCATGGATGTTAAGCTACACGCTTGAGGTCCGATGATACAGTCTTGTATCGCTGCCCCAGAGTGCCGCTTGACGAGCACGCATACAGAAGCGGTTTCAGCGTAGGACCTCACCCAGAGGTAATATCCGGTGCGTCATTATGTAGTCCACTCGAAACCAATGGTACGACACATCACCAGTCCCCTGCACCGGTCTTCGTCCCCATACCCCGTAAACTGGTGACGAACCACATGCTGAAGACACTTCAGTTTCTACACCTCGCCACGGGTGATCCGACAATAGGTGGGCAAGCCGTACTGTGGCATTGGTTTTCTAATGGAAGAGGTGAGTGGCGTTCTTCTCAGACTAAATGCAGTAACTGCGTTTCAGTGCACAAACCATGCATCATCCGTTTCCATATAGATTGTGCAGTCCAGAACTTGGATTTGTCCCTTCAAATTTTGCGTCGAATTTTCGGAAATATGCTCAATCGATTCCGACAGCCGTGTTCTATCCAACGGGATCTATCTTCTTGTAGTAAGCTCAACGCTACCCTGGTGTGCCACAGGCAACCTCTTCGGCGGTTCGTTCGCGTGCTACCTTAGTTTTTAAGACTACCAGACAAGGTATAACCTAACACTTTGCACCACTGTACAGCATAGCTGCAGCAGATGTCGTAGTCCCATATTTAACACTATTTTTTCGTGCGTCTTACCGTAAACAGCTTTTATGATTCTGTTCACCCGTTATGCGAATTGCATCCAGTGTCTGCGTACACACTATGCGCTTACTGTCGTGGAATCGAGCTGGTTCAAAGCAACTAATGACGATTACTGGATAGTTGATGGTGTGCGCTGGAGGCGCATAGCCGTTCTAACCTCTAGACAGCAATGATTGGCTACGCTGAAGGTAGCTCCACACAGGTTAAGGGCACAAAGTTGTCCAAACTCACGTGGTGCGATTGGGTTGAGAGTTGAGTGGGCGTAAGTGGGCTACCTTATACGTAAAGGCATGCGCTGCACACGGTACCAATGGGCGGGGGGGCGTTAACATCATCAACCATCAACAGCAGTACATCAGCCATTTGGACTGATACTTCGCTGCCATACAACCATGAGGACCTATGTAAAAAAAAAGGATAATAAGAGGGAGAGAAGGGGGACTTACCTGAAAACCTTAATGCCCTAAGCAAACATTCTGGGTCAAGGCGCCTACACCTTGTGTTCACAACATACCGTCACAAACAGCTGGATATCGTGCAAAGATAGGGCTGCATCGGCGAGACAGCTTCCTTGCGGCTTTCACTGCCACGCGTCATAATCAGCCATTACCCCGCAGATAACTCAGCACCAAACACACTTTAAACAGGCAATCCGATTAGGAGACGGCAGCAGACGCGCCACTGGTGTCTACTTCGAGCCATGTCCTGTAAAGTCTCGAGCCAAGCACAAGGAGAGTCACGTGGACTCCAGCCCGGAAGACGAGACGGACCAACGGCACCCAGTTTGGTCGTCAGTGACTTCATTTCCCGCTGCCAAGTCAACTTCTGTCCACCTCGAGCCTTGCGCCATCCTACACCTGGCAGACTGAACAAGGCCCTCCTAGGTAATCGGTGACCAGGCATACGTAGCACGTGCCCGAGCCAACGCAACTTATTCAGTGCTATCTGTTGCTCTAAGGAGGTAGCATGATTATCACCACCTAGTACTCGCCTACGCACATCATCGTTGCGGACACGATGGTGCCATCCGACACCAGCAATGCTTCGCAGACAACGATGGTCAAAGACTTGAAGGCGCCTCAGATCTTCAGACCGAAGGGGCCAAGTCTCACTACCATACAGTAGAACGGCCCTCACTGTGGCTTTGTATACACGGGCTTTCAGACGGAGGCAAATTCCCTTTTGTCGCCAAAGTTGCCGCAGGTTCAAGAAGGCAGCTCTGGCCTTTGCAATGCGTGCGCTGATGTCAGTTTCTATGCACCCATCATTGCTGATGCAGCTGCCAAGATAAGTGAAATGATCAACCACCTCGAGTTCCTCGTTAGCAAGCGTCAAGGGGTCATCAAGTGGCTGGTGCTCCTGCAGCAACACTTTGCACTTTGAAGGTGCGAAGTGCATACCAAATAATGGGACCACTCTGGATAGGCTATTCAGGGTTGATTGTGCAGCCTCAACATCGTCGAAAAGCAAGACGACATCGTCCGCATAATCTAGGTCAATTAATCTTTCACCAGGCAGCACTTCGACGCCTACATCGTGAGATTCCGCAAGGGAACACTCCATGATAGAATCCACGACGAAATTGAACAAAAACGGGGAAATCGGACAACCCTGACAAACGCCACTTGTGGTCGGAAAGCTATCCGATAGGACACCATAGACCCTGACGCGGCCTGTAGTGTTCGAGGATAGAGCACGAAGGATGTTCACATATTTCGTAGGAACACCTTTTCGCATAAGTATTTCGAACAGAATCGATCGATCGACTGAATCGAACGCACTCTTGAAATCGAGAAACACAGCTATTGTCGGTCTGCGGTATGCGTGGCGCTGCTCTAGCACCTGCCGCAAAGTGAATATATGGTCTATACAGCCACGTCCTGGGCAGAAACCGGCCTGCTCTTCCCTAATCCGAGATTCCCGTTCTACAGTGAGGCGACGAACGAGAATCGAGGTCAGTAATTTTGTCACAACTGGCGTTAGGCTAATACCCCTGTGGTTAGCACAGTCTGTGCGACTGCCCTTCTTGTATATTGCCACTATAATCGATTCACTCCAATTAGCCGGGACACTTCCTTCCAGATACATTCGAATAAGGAGGTCAGTGCTTTGCAGAGGACCTCACCTCCATCCTTAAATAGTGCAGGTGGGAGGGAATCCGGGCCAGCGGCACGAAAACGATTGAGGGCTGTGATCGCGTTCCGGACCTCGGCCTCCGACAGAGGCTCTAAACTAACAGTCCATGGCTCGTCCTGCATCACCTGAGTAGGAAGAGGTCCTGGAGCAGGGGGCCAGCTGAACTGATCTTGAAAGTGTTCCGCCCAACGAGCCATACGGCGCTCCTTATTGTGTATCAGTGCACCCGCACTGTCTCTGATTGTCTCACTGACGCCTGGTTTCATGGGACCAGTGGTGCGGATTAGCTGGAAGAGCTTGCGGTAATTGTCTACTGCTCCTGCCTTCTCCATTTCTTGAGCCCGACTGGTCCACCAGGCTTCCTTGTCAGCACGTAGGCTCCGCTTTAGTTCACGCCTAATAGCCCGTCTGGTCACATTGTGCTCAGAGCCAGCCGGGAGGTGTCTTCTAGATTCCAACAGGTTCACCGACCTCTCGGATATCCAGTAACTGGTGCGGTGAGGATGGATAGTGCCACAAGCAGATGCTCCTGCGTCGTGCATAGCGGCCGAGATCCTATTCCACTGAAGCTCAGTGTCATTAGGACAAGACAGCGGAAGTTCGGTACGCAGTGCTTCTTGATAGGCTTGCCTGACTGAGGGCTGAGACAATTTCTCAGTTGCCAGTCGAAGGAGACGCTTGGTGCGCCTCCCGATGAAGTTCATGGAGAAATGACAGCGTACCAAGGCATGATCAGAGTCGACACAGGTACTCCAGTACGAGTGGCAATCCAGGATGGAACCACGCCATCTGTAACTTATGGCATGTGGTCAATTTGGGTCCATCGCTGGCCAGCTACAGGTGGACGCCAAGTGGCACTTCGGCGCCCACTGTGTCTAAAAGCAGTGCTACTAAGAAACAACTGGTGCTCCGCACACAGTTGCAGCAGACGCTCACCATTGTCAGTCCGTTCGGAGTTAAGCCGATAATTACCACCCAGCTGAGCTTCTGAAGTGCTCAGACGCTCTACTTGTGCGTTCATATCCCCTGCAAGTACTATAATATCTGAACCAGTAGCACTGCGTAGTAGGGCGTTGTGTTCGTGATAGAGTGTGTCCTTGAGAACATCTGAACTGCAGTCGGTGGGAGCGTAAACAGAAATCACAAACAAACAACGTTTTATGTTATTTCGTGAATCCACCTTAGCTGATGTCGTCAAACGGGCTGCACATAAACGGATATTCACCGGAATCCAATCAACCAACGATGGGTCAGCCTTGGAGCTGAGAATGATACCCACACCAGCTTGGCCCGTGAGTGCCGCTAACACAGCAATGCGACACCAGATTAGCGGTCTTAAGGCTTGTTTGGCACTGTTTGAACCCACAAGCATCATGTGCAGCCTAAGTGGCTGCCGTACTGCGTCCAGTTCGGCACTGCACCGAATGTGAAGCGAGCTAATGAGATAGCATCAGTTCACATTCGTTGGTTTACGATATCGCAGGGGGCGGGAAATAAACTGACGACTTGCAGGCTGCGGACTGGTGCAGCTTCTTTGCAAGCACGATTGTCATGCAAGTCAGTTCGCATCAATTACACAAGCACGCCGTACTCCTTAATGTGGTTACGGTGGTGTGTTCGACCCTAGGTAGTAATACATAGTCACTACCATTGACGAAATGGCTCATCTTAGACCGCCAGTAGCCTTCTCACCACCCCCTTCCCCCGCAAGTGATGTTTTGCCTGAAATGCCAAACCTTAGGAAATCATGGAAAAGAAAGGAATGTACGGTTTTCGTGAAGAAAAGAAATAAAACACAAAGTAATCCATGGCTTTTTCAGAGAGTGAAATATCACCCGATTGCAC